TCAGTACCGTCTAATGCTTGGGAACATGTGACTATGGACTTTATTGAAGGCTTGCCCAATTCCTTTGGAAAGAATACAATTCTAGTGGTTATTGATAGATACACAAAGTATGCACATCTCTTTACTTTAACTCATCCCTATAATGCTTCACAGGTAGCTCAATTATTCTTTGATAATGTTTGCAAGCTATATGGGATCCCAAAATCCATCCTTTCCGACAGAGATCCTATATTCACTAGTTTGTTTTAGAAGGAAATATTCAAAGGATTACAGGTAGAGAAACGCCGGCTTATCATCCACAAACTGATGGCCAATCGGAAAGGCTAAAATAATGTGTTGAAACTTACCTACGATGCATGACTGGTCTCAAGCCCAAGGATTGGAGCAAATGGATTTCTATGGCTGAATATTGGTACAACACAAAGTTCCAATCGGGTATTGGCATGACACCCTTCAAGGCCCTCTATGGCTACGACCCTCCACTTTCCAGTTTCGAGCTTATTGCACAATCAAAGATAAAATCTGTAGATCAGGTATTGAAAAAGAGGCAATTACTGGATCAAATATTGAAGGATAATTTGGTCCAAGCCCAGAATTACATGAAATAATTTGCAGAATAAAAAAGGAGCTAGAAGGAATTCAAGGTGGGAGATATGGTCTACCTCAAACTTCAACCTTATCGGCAAATGTCTGTGGCTGTTCGAAAGAACCTTAAATTATCAACAAGATTTTTTGGCCAATATGAAGTCAGTCGAAGAACTGGAGCTGTCGTTGATGAGCTCAAGCTGCCAATGGGTTCAAAAATTCACCTCGTCTTTCACGTGTCGCAACTAAAAAAAAAGATTGGTGATCAAGTGGTTCCTTCCATGGACCCTCCATACTGCAGCAACGAAGGACAAATATTAACCGAGCCCATAGCTATTATAGAAAGAAAAATGATTAAGTAAGGCAACAAAGCAGTTGTTCAAGTGCTTTTCAAGTGGGCAAATCTTTCAAAAGAAGAAGCAACATGGAGGATTATCGTTTCCTCAAATCATAGTTTCCTGGATTTGATGTTTGATGCCATGAATTTTCTTAAGGGGAGTTGAATTGTCACGAATTAACGTGACTCAATCTGAATTAGAGATCAAGAAGGAATTGGGAGGGGCTCCTTAGTTAATTATAATTGTTTATGAGTCCTTATGTTATAGTCTCCTAATTTAGGAATATTACAGTTTAGTCTATAGTACTCGGTATAATGAATCAAGGACACATGTCCATTAGGTACCAACGACTAGTACTGTTGTGCCTATATCATCTTTATATTCTGTCCCTATGCATTGTAATCATCAATCAGATTTTATGAATCCAATTTACTGTTTTGCTTAGCTTTTTCATTCTTTTTCCTTTTCGTTATTTATGAGTTGCCTTCAATCTAACTGTTGTAGCTTAACACGCTAAAAAAATCGTCAAAATTAGTGAAGTATATCTTCAACGCCTCAAATGTTGTTAAAGTTACACAAAGCAAGTCTTCCATGCTTTAGCCATTCTTGACGGTCTATAAAAACTTAAATTCTTTTTCGAAATAATTACTTTCATCGTAAAAAAATTATGCATTCATCAAACCAATGATAACCTGATATGTATCACCTAACTATGATAATTAAGTGTATTTTCAATTGATTCATTACTTAACGATACTCCCTCCGGTTAAGTGACTTTGGCCTTTTTATTTTGGTCCAAAGCAAGTGTCTTTTTATTACATAATCAAGAAGGAATTAATTTTATTTTTTAAAGATTTGCCCTTATTTACATATATCAATGTGTCAAGGTAACAATTAATTAAGGTAATTTAATGAATACATTCTTTTTTTAGGAGTTCGAATTTTCTTAAATGGTGTGCCAAAGATTAGAATTATGGACCGGAGGGAGAAATGAATTAGTGTAAACATAGGGTACATGGTAACGTTTTACCATGCGGTCTTCAAATAGCATTTAGTCATATACTATTATTGTTATCAAATGAAAATAAAAGTGAATTATTAAAGAGAACATTCAAACACTCCTAAGCATTTAGTCGAAACAGTGGCGGACCTAGGATTTTGCACAAGCGGGTTTAGTCAAAGACGAGCACAAGTAATAGTATAAATGGTGTCGGGTATGACAACCAAGATTTGATCATTTATTTATTTATTAGTCTTAACACAATCTCAAAATGAAGTTATTCTAAAGTTGGCACTCTATAGTTTAACAAAAATGAAAATATTTTTCAAAAGGTTCAAACAAATTTATCTATCTCTGCTCGTAGAAATATATTTAGTATATTAACAGATTTTACTTCCAGAAATTCAATGTAACAAAAATTTGTTAACTCTAAAATATTTAAATAAATCTAGGGTTTTCTTTGTTACTAATAAGAAGTTGTTATCTGAAGAGCGGAGAGAATAAATCTATAAATACTAAACTAATTCAAGTAACAACTTTTTGGAGCTATATACCAAACTAGAAAATTCAGTATAAAACAAATAAACGTCACTAAACTAAATAAAACTAACTAATTATAAATAATTTCAACAAATATATTTGCCTCTTATCAAATTTTAAGAAACAACGAACCAATTTCACTTTGTAGGCAAGTTTGATTTTTTGAGCAAATTAAACTATAGAATAACTTTATTGTATTCCGGCAGAAAAGAAAGATAAAGTAACATAGTAAAATGATATATGAGGGGACATAAGAGTAATATTAGAAGGGTTAATCTCAAATACAATCTTGGCCATTGGTTGCATATGCTCCCTCCCAGGAGGGAGATTAAAAGAATTAATTGGAAGATGGAATAAATTTGGATTCGAACTTGGCACCCTCGAAACATTTTGAACCCACTCGACCACCTCAACAAAGAATATCTTTGTTAAAGAGGGTTCAATTTATTATTTTCTATATAAATACTATGCTTAAATATAATTTTTCAATATGCACGGTATAATTACTTAACCCTCTTGACACCATGTGGGTCCGCCTCTGGCCGAAACACATAATTACAAGTAATAACTGTACTACTTAGCAAATTACATCGAGACAAGGATTTAATTATATACACTATTAAACTAAAAAAAACTACACTATTAATAATTTTAACCTGTGATAACATATTAATTGACATGTTACCAATTAAATCTTATCATATAAATTACTTGTAAATATTTTATATATGACCTGATTATGATAATAGCCAATAGGTTTGGTTTGATTTTGCGAATTCACTTTAACACCCCTAAATTTCAATCTTGGTCAAATTCAAGCGTATAAGTTCGTAATATTCTTTGACAATAAAACTTTACTGAACAAAAAAGAGAATGCAAAGAGCAACAAATGTAAACCAAAAAGTTCACAGCACATAGGAAATTCTATTGCATTTGTGCCAGTGTATTGTCATAATTTGGCTGTGTATTGATTTCGGGATAGGCGCGACGGAATTACGACTTTACTTTATATCATGATTGATGTTTCCGTCGAATTATTTTCCAAGCAGAGTAAGCCAATTGTATTTACACATATTATTATTATTAAGAAATATATTTCTCCATCTGTTTTAACTTATAATTAATGTGAACTTATTTCTTAATCCATCCCAAAAAGAATGATTATTTTTTAAAATTTGGAAACAGTTTAATTCAAATTTTTCATTTTACCCATAATGAGAAGTTTTATAGTAACATAAATGTTATGATATATTTAAAAACATAAGTCTCAAAAAGTCTTTTATTTTTTCTGAACTCTATGAGTAGGCCGACGTTGATGTGAAAAGTTGGTTTTAATTTGCAGGAGAAACTTGTTCTAGTTGTCCAAATTAATATGACAGAAATAATAATAACCCTTGTATAGTTGTAATAAATACTAATAGCCTTTGAAAAGGTGCATACGAATTTTAGGGAAAGGCATTAAATGAAAATAAAGATCCATGCAGAGAAGTGTGATTGCTGGATTACTTCCCTCATTTTGGCTCTTCAAAACACTCAGAAATTTTAACAAAATGTTGGATTCAAATCCGTCACTAAAACAATGACATCTGTGCATTATTTGTCACTAGCTGGAGATCTCCCTTATAAAAACTCAGCTCTGTACTTGTGAGTAAAGGATCAAATTGGCTTAGCAAGAACACCTGAAATCATTAATAGTGTTGGAATTACTATGTAAATTAATTTCACCAGTTATTGTATATAACAATTCATGCTAGCACTCTGTGCCGGAGCCACATGCACTCAAGGGGTATCAACTGACATCCCATTGTCGGAAAATACACTGTGTTGTCTGTGTAGCTAGGTAATTTTTTTTAAATATATATATATATATATACTATGTATTGACACTTCTTGGTGAGTTTATTTCTTTATATTTTGACTCCCCTTAATAAAATTTCTGGCTCCGCCACTGCTTGTGCTAAACATATATAAGTCGAAGCACCATCGGTTCGAAGTCAGTACCCTTGAATGGTTCAATATTTTGAACTTAAGCAAGTCACTTTGCTCAAAGTTGCATAAATTTCAATGACTTTTGTTGAAATACAAAAGAAAAATATGAAACAAGGATTGAAGGGCTAAGAATTGAAATCATAAATGTCAGCTGTGCAGCAAGTAAAGTATTACTAATCATAAATGTCAGCTGTGCAGCAAGTAAAGTATTACTCCCTCCGTCTCATATTATCTGTCATGATTCTCTTATACATGCCCCTTGAGAAAAATTAATTAGGATGGAATTTTGACTATTTTATCCGTATTCATGTCTTAATATTTAATCTTTCTTCATTGGTATTTGAACAAAGTTTCAAGAATAATTATTACTAAGAGTAAAAAAGGAAAAAAATAATTAATTTTGTCTTGAACTTCTAAAGTGACAAATAATTTGAGACAACTATTTTTAGTAACCACGACTGATAATATGAGACGAAGGGAGTAGCAAACTTGCTATAAATGTCATGCATCTTGTTAGCAAGAATGACTTAAAAGAGAAATTCTTTTCTTCTCCACAAAATTAAGTATTTTATCTGGATTCTTTACCCTAACCAACCAAAAGAATTGGAACGTTAACAAACCACAAATCATGCAGTAAGAAAACTTAATGTTGTAATTCTGTTACCAATGCCAGTTCCCTGAAACTCACATTATGATACTAGTGTTTTGCTGTCCCTTGAGAAATCTATAGACACTGCTGATGGTGGCCGCAACTGGAGCATCTTCCTAGCTATATTCAATGCTTTTTCTGCTTCAAGTTCTGGGTGCTCCAGGATGTTCATTATCACAAGTGATGGCGAGCTAAAGAGAATGAATCGGATAAACTCAAACTCAGGAATGAAAGCTGAGATATTCGTTAATTTGACCAGATGAAGCTTGCTAAGGGGAAAAGTTGTGCAGCAGTCCAAGCATTTTAGATAACCCGAGACTTGTTCCTGGTTTAGCGCGCTCGATTGTAGAAGCCTACACAAAAATATAGCAGAAACATAAAAAGTGCTTATTTGGTTCCTAAACAAATTATCATGAATTAGATGGAGTTTCACAACTTACCTCTACATAGAGTTCTTGCAAGTTGGGAGCACTTGCAAGTAGGAGGACAACTACAGATATTTGATTAAAGTCCATAAAGTTCACACCTTTGAGTTCAAGAATCTTTAGAGAGTATGACGATGGCAATAACATTGGCAGAACAGGAGCTTCATCTAGGAGCTGAAACATTAATGATGTGTGAAAACACAATTTAATCACATTAAATTAAAAAATAAGAATGTTAGTTGTGAAGGTAAAATACAAGCTTGGTTAAAGTAATAGGAACAAAAAGCAGTGTAGAAATAATCTCAATAGCACTAAATACCTGCGGAAACATGCCATTAAGAGGAAGTATTTTGACTTTAGACAGGGTACCCACAAATGTAACCAAATCAGAAACAGGTTTGCCTTCCCTGCCTGTTACAACTCTCTCCAATGAAACAGAAAGTTCAGACAAGTTAGAAGCATTCTCTAAGGAGATTGATTTGAATTTCTCATCGTCCTTGATAAACAACCTCTTGAGATTACCCGTAGGAGGCATCATATTAGACTGATCGACAATAAGATCCTGTAGAAAATAAACAGGAATACAAAGATGAGGAAGATCTCCAAACTATCTAGACAGAACTGCGGATGACATTGTCAAATTTAACACTCCATAACTGCAAGAAGAATAGAAAGGGTGTGGTTTAATTGCATTATTTACAACAAGGAAGCCTTCCGTCAATACTTCATGAATCATGAATAAAGGGGAATATACAGATTTCTTATTCTAAAGAAAAAAAATCAAAAGAATAGGACTGAGAACCACATCACCTTTTGCTTCTATTAAGCTTATCAAACTGACATAGACAGCCACACAATAAGGAGAAGAAAAAAAGGTCCAATAATTGGTCAAATTAACTTCGAAAATTAGCTGTTTCACAGATTAGGTATATATATTTTGACATCAAACTAGTAGCCTTAATAAGCTAGTAAGTAGTTACGTAGTAAAATTTGAATAGCCTAAAAAACTTAGTATGAGGCAGAAGGTAAAGCCTTAGAACCCCAACCACATCATGGGACATCAATGACGATTTTAAACCCATCAAGTTTTAAGCAAAAACCCAAATCGATTCAGGTGATTTGATTTAATTATGCCCCCAGAAAATATAAATACAATTCTTGATTCCAAAGTTCTACAGAACCCCAGACCATAACAGCACATGAATTGTGTTAACAATGAAAACAGTAGTAGTGTGAACCAGGCATTGCTTCAGTATAGTATCCTAACTAAACTATTTTGACAAGCCAATGTTGAAAATTTTGGGATAATACTATAAGCAACCTCATCAATTGAAGAGTATTAGAGTGAGTAAAAGTTTAACATTTTGGATCCACAGCTTTTGCACCGAGACAGATGAACGCCAGGAAGTCATGGAAATAAGTAATTTAGCCTGTGAAACTAAACTTACCAAGATAAAACAGTGCAGAAAGGGGCCAGTATATTTTAATTGAAATGATCCTTTAATTAGTTTCATAAACTAACATCTTCCGAAAGATAAAAAGGGATCAGAAGCAAAAATTACGCTTACCAAGATCCAAAAAGATGGAGTTTAGCCTTTCTCTTGGTTGTGCTTAAAGTCTTCAACTGTTGGGCACTATTTATAGTTTTTTTTTATTAAGTAAGGTACTGCATTATAGGCATCAAGAAGATGCAAAAGGTTACAAACTATTTATAGTTTTCAAATCTTCTCTTAAGTACCTTGGCCTTCTATTTTGTTAAATGAAATGACACTGAAGCATTACTAGTAGAGGATAGAGCATATGTCGATCATAAACAATTTCAGAAGAGTATGTAATAATTAGAAAGGAATTAGCAGACATATACTGCAGAATCCTTCAATTACCAAGAAAAGAAACCAGTTAAGTGATCAAACATAAGGTGACAGACAGGTTTCACAACCCAAAAATAAACAATTGAACCCCTTAAAATATGACTGAATAGCAGCTAGAGTGCATCGTTACTTCTAGAACAAATAGTTCAAGCCATATGTTTTAGGATATAATATAACTATTAGAATCATTTCTTTAGCATCATCAAAACACATGGACAGACCAGGATTATAAAAGTCAGTGAAGAATCCCAAGTTCACAGAAATTTAAAGCTAAAACGGCGCTTGAATAGTATTACTATAGGGTCACACGGCATCACTGCTGTTGACCTGCTCAGATTGCTTTGATGAGTACTTCTCCATCAGCTTAGCCAGTTCGAGATCAAAATTCTTCTCAAGTGCAACTGCCTCTTCCGAGTATTGCAGCAAGTATTTGCGTCTCATTGAACCTACCCTATCTTCATGAGCTCTTATCAGATTATCCCTCTCTTCCACAAATTCTTCCATATCCTTGTCCTGAAGTTTGATAAATTTCGCAACTTTCTCTGCCCTGAGTCGATGATCCTCAGCCGAGGAAATAGTTGCATTAGATTGATAGATCATCTCACGCTGTTCCTGCTGTATCTTTTCAAACTTGTCCTCCTCAGCAGTCCTGGCATCATAAATCATTTTCAACTGATCATTAAAAAACTGCTCTAGATATTCCATCTCTTCCTTGTTCCGTTCATGGTGCATCTTAGTTCTCAGTCTGACAATCTTGTTCTCTTCGACTGTCTGACGGTGCTTTTCACTCACCAGTCTTAGAGACTCTTCAGTAGCTTTAGCCCGCTTTTGGTGCTTAGAGGCTTGGTTCTTGAACCATATGAGCTGTTGATTATCCTCCGACATCTGCATCGCTGGATTCGAAACAGTTTCTTTATATGACCTCATCTCGAACTTCAGCCTTGATTTCCCATGTGAATGCCGGTTAAAGTTGTCCATGTCTCTTTTCTCTGCCATGTAACCATAAAGCTTACGTTTTCCCCCAGGATAAAAGAGAACTGGATTGTGTTCCCATGCATCTCTATCACTTCCTTTTTCAGAAAACTGCTCACTGAGAAGTACAGCCTCCATGTATCCCACGGGAGTGGCCTCAAAAATCAACACACTGATACCACGATGGCCTTGTGGACCATATGAGCTTCGCGCTGCCTTGACAGCAGCATAAGAGCTGAAATAATCACGCAGCTCCTGATTTCCCATTCCAATCCACTTGTCATTTTCATCTTTCTCAAGCACTGTGTTCACGATAATCGCGGTCGGTGGCCACACTATTTCCTTATCTTCATATTCACCGCCACCCCATCTTCCATACACTTGACCTGGAGGTACAACAGAAGTTCCCCTCCGACGCAGCTCTTCCTCCAAAAGTTGAGCAAGTTGTCTGTGTAATTTCATCCTAAATCCTTTCGTTTTTGCGTGGTTCATCACTGACTGTATCCCTGGAAACCACTCAATTGCACCCGGACCACCTTTGCATGCAGGGCAGTGCCACTGTCTTTCCGGATCATTAATCTCAGTGACAGTCAAACTGTCAAGACATTTGAAAAGGTTCTTGAACCAACGACTTTCCTTGAGTACCTCATGACTCATTTCATTTACATCCGAGTGATCATCAAAGTCGTCATCACTCGGAAGCTCATCATCACTGTCATCATCAGGCAAATCCGATTCATTATCCTCTCCATCATGTTCACAGGAAGCCTTGACATCAGCGACAGGGGAATAAGTATCATGGTCCTCATTGGAACGAGCGACAGATGACCAATCCCAACCATTCTTCAGGGCAGGAGGAACTGCAGCGGGTGTCGGTGTGTAGCATTCTCTGCCAGCAGGTTTTCGAGGATGATAATTAGGTGTGGACCAGTTATTCCTAGACCCCTGTCCTGATGATCCAACAATATTGTTACGCATTCCCAGTTTGGCTTTTGGAGTGGGATTCTGAGAAATCCATTGCTTCATTCCAGCACTGCTGCTTCCACCCTTGTTCTTGGACTTTCTAGAACACACTATCCATCCATCATTTTGATCGGAGTTCAACCCCATATCTTCTACGCCTACATTTATATCATCAACCGTTGGTGTAGTAGTTGTTTCGCATATAGCTTTCTGCTTTCCTGATGAATTAGAAGACTTCCCAACCCTTTTGCTGGAACTCATCTTTGGATGAACTACACGAACTGGGCTTTTCTGTTGAAGGAAGATGTCAACAAAAAAACAGAAACTGATGAAAATAACATGAGAATTTCGACTGAGAAATAATTCCATATGTTTCAATTTTATAAATCAAATCGACGAGACAGAAGCATACAACCTTCAGTAGGAAAGGTGAACCAGATCAAGAAGATAAAGCCTTTTTACATGGACTAAAATTAATCAAAAAGGAAAAGAAATGATTATTAAGAGGAAAAACATGAAAGCACTTAAAAGCATACCAAGATTCTTGAATTTGAACGTGCCTTCAGCTGCTGGGGCACAATTTCAAGTTAAAGTTTCAAATGTTTGAAGGGAGGCAGAGGTGAGACATGAAAAGGAAGAAGATAAGCCAACTAAGGAAAGCGGTTGAATACAATGGTTCCTATATGTATTTGGGAAGAAGGATTCTGCATTCAATTGCTTAAGAATAGACTAACTCAAACTATCCCAAAAATATCCTCTTCCAGCTAGCTAGCCATTAGTTTTCAATTGCCAAATATTCCCATGAATCTTTCCTAGCCGTTAGTTCTAGTCATTAAAATTACCTTTTACTCGCCAAATTTACTTTCCAATCTCTTGTGCATATAATGACATCTTGAATGCCAAAGTAGCACACAAAGGAATGAGATTATAATTCTCTTTAAGAGGGAGATTGTAGAGTAGGCCGGCCTTCATGTGAAAACTTGGTTTTAATTTCCAAGATGTAAAAACTGTTCTAATGGTCCAAAAGAATGAACTTCTCAGTTCTGAACTGAATCTTCCATAAAGAAATAATGAGCATGGAGGTTTTCAACATCAAAATATTGTCTCTATTCCTATTCTTAATGACTAGAAATTCTTGACACATGCACTATCTCAAATTTATTTTCTTCCTTTTTTAACTTTCCTGTCTACTTTCACTTCTTATTTACACTTACCAATATCTTTTGCATTATTACATTACCAAAGATGTACTTTGGGACCCATTAAATCCAAATTCTTCAAAAAGAAGATCAACATCATTTTAACTCTTAAACTACAACATTCATCAAGAAGCTTAGTTGCTCAAATTTGGGTGCAGGTGTCCGATGCGCATTGGGATCTAGAGGTTAGATCCTTCATGATCTAAACTTTAAGATTCCGGAGTACATATCCAGGTACGGATACAGGCAGGGAGACTAAGCGAAAAATAATTCAAAAATGTAAAATAGAGTTATAAAGATATGTCTAAATTATGAGACATTATTTGAAAACCTTACAAGGTATTTCGAGAAAGAGAAAATATTAATCAAGAGCAGAATCCAAGAAGAAAATAAAAGGAAAAGGACTGATATAGAAAATTTTATATACAAGGTATTACATTTCTTCAATTTCACCCTAGCTTTAATCGGTTGACCATGTTCGACACGGATTTCATACCCACACCCACGTCATGTCGACATGAGTGCGGTACTGAAAGTGAAGAGTCCGAGCAACTTAATCTGGATGCTAATTGTAGTATTTGAACAAAATACTAGTTTAGGAGACTTACGAGTTTCTCCTAAGCGGAAGCGGATCTGCAACAACCACAACTTGTATCACTGGTAGGAAACGAATGAATTTCCTTTGTCCACAACCTACTAATCCCCAAGATGATGTAGAGAAGCTAACCCTTTTTTTCTACACCCATAAAGGTTTACGAGGAGGATAAGCTAATGGGCTAAAATTAACTCCCTTGTGGGCAGATCGGACTCAATATCATTGTCCAACACTATTAAACTCCAATGTTACCTTAATAATTGTATTCATATATACAAAATTGTGGACTTAAAGTTGGAAGAGAAGAGCTACCTTTTTTTATTTTATGGAAGGAGTACTAGTTTTAACACTTGCATTATTGTTCATTCATTATTAGGATAAATTTTATAAAAATCACTTTCACTTTTTATTTACACTTACTAATATTTTTTAAATTATTAGATTACCAAAGATGTAATTTGGGACCCATTCATATTCAAAGAATATCCAAATTCTTCAAAAAGAAGATCAACTTCATTTTAACTCTTAGACTACCACATTCATCTAGGTGCTTACTTGCTCAGACTTGGGTGCGAGTATCCAGTACAAATGTGGATATAGAGGTCGGATACTTCATGATCTAAACTTTATGATTCGGGAGTACGTATCCAGGTACGGATAAGGGGATTCGGCTAAAAATAATTAAAAAATAATTAATAGAGTTATAAAAATATGTCTAAATCATGAGACATTATTTGAAAACCTTACAGGGTATTAAGAGAAGGAGAAATTATTAATCAAGAGCAGAATCCGAAAAGGAAATAGAAGGAAAATGACTTATATAGAAATTTCTACATACAAGGTATTGCATTTTTTTCAATTTCACCGTAGCTTTTGTTTTGATTTCATTAATCGTTGTATCTGTCCCAAATTCTTCCATCGTTTTAGTACCCAAAATCAGTTGACCATATTCGGTACGGATCTCCTACCCACACTCACGTCATGTCGACACGGGTGCGGTACGGAAAGTTAAGAGTCCGAGCAACTTAGTCTAGATGCTATTTGTAATATTTGAACAAAATATTAGTTTAGGAGACTTACGAGTTTCCCCTTAGCGAAAGCGGATCTGCAACAACCACGACTTGTGTGATCGTAGGAAACAAATGAATTTTCTTTGTCGACAACCTGCTAATCCCCAAGATGATGTAGAGAAGCTAACCTTTTTTCACCCATAATGGTATATTTATAAGTAATAAATAGGGTTTAGGAGGAGGATAAAGCTAATGGGCTAATGGGCTAAAATTAACACCCTTATGGGCCGGCGGACCAGACTCAATATCATTTTCCAACACTATTAAACTCCAGTGTTACCTTAATAATAGTGTCCATATATAACAAATTGTAGACTTAAGTTGGAAGAGGAGCTACCTTTTTTTTTGTTTTGATGGAAGGAGTACTAGTTTTAACACTTGCATTATTGTTCATTCATTATTAGGATAAGTTTTATAAAAATCACTACTAACTTAATGAAATTTTCAATGGCATTTAGTTGTTTATTTATTTTTCCATGCCAAATTAAGCTCAGTAGCTTTTAATTTCCCACAATCTGCGAAAACCCTGAGCATGCTTTCAAAGTATAAACCCAATGGAACTATCCATTACCATCAATAAATAAATAAATAAACACAATGAAACTGAATAATCCAGTCATAATACATAACATTACAAAGTTCATCTCAACATAATTACATAATATATATATATATATATATTTTTTTTTTTATTTTTTTTATTTTTTTTATTTTTTTTATAACGGCGGTGTCTGGGCCAGCATGTGCGCACATCGACTAATTCCACGGGATATCTACCACCTCCCACCAGCATTAGGTACCAAGTAACTCTATCTATCAAGGCTTTGACAAATGAGAAAAAATCACCTAGTGTTTTTTGTCTCTACTCTGATTTGAACCTGAGACCGCAGGTTCCCCACCCACACTGTTGACCACTAGGCGTCTAGGCCACACCCTTGAGTGCAATTATAGAATCTATATAACTGAAACAAACTCCAATTTAGGGAGTATTAAAAAAAGAAACCATGGAAGAACTCGAAGCGTACCAGAAACCCTCTTCTTCTCCTTTGTTCCTGGATTAAAAGTTTTTCCTCTTTTCCTTGCTTCTTAGAATGAGAATATTCCTTTGAGTGAAAAGTTGGCTTTAATTTGCAGTAGAAATAGTATATATTCTAATGGTCAAAATAAATATTCTGGGAGAAATAATAGCCATTGCAGGGCTTTTGTTAGTGGAGATTTGATCACATTCTTTTGTAGATTGAGTTTCAAATAGGCAAAGGTGGTCTTAAAAGCGGGTAAGAGTATTTCTTCCTTTTCATATATGGGACAACTCCTTTTAGATTCCTTTCTACTTCTACTTTTCATTTGCACTTTTGTTTTATAACCGTGGTGTTCGGGCTTGTGTGCACCTCGACTAATTCAACGGGATACCTGCCACCGCAGACTAGAAACAGAAATCGGGTAACTCTATCCACCAAGGGTTGGACAAATGAGAAGAAATCACCTAGTATTTTTTGTCTCCGCCGCACTGAATCACAAAATCTTCATTATATTTGATTATTTTTAAGGTACATTAGGTTTTATTGAGTATTAGGAAAAAAATTCTATATCGAAGTTCCAACTGCACACCTTTCCTTTTCGGGGATCCTATTACCTCCTTATACTAGTTTAGAGAATAATTAATTGCATCTAAAGGCTTATGTAGCAAAGTGTGTATATCACTCTCTCTGAGAGAGTGAGAAGAAAAAATAATTTTAAAATATTACTTTCTTAATTTTATTAAAATTAAAAATATACATTCTTTTTTCTTTTTCTTTGTCTGTCTTTTCCTTCTTCTCCTCTACTTCACTATTCCCATCAACAACATACAACAATCGTCGGCGACTTTTATGGCCTTCTTTAATTTTTTGGGTTAGTTTTCTTCCTCTCCCACTCTCGAATACACAAATCACACTTTTATTAAAAAATTATACATATGTAAAGCAAAACCACTCAGATTTGAAAATATCCAGCACCGAAAAATCTTTTTATTTATTTTGCCTGAGATTTGGAAATATCCAGCACCGGAAAATCTTCTCTTTTTTTGCCAGAAAAAATAGAGTTTTTGACATTTCAAACCGAATAAAGCCTTTTTCTTACCCAACAGTAGGGGTGGGCATAGTTTGGGCAAACCCAAAATACAAACCGAAATCTGAGTTTTATGGAGTTTTGGTTTGGATTTTCGAATTACGGATTGGACTACAGACTTAATTTTTAAATTTTTTGGATTTCGGATTGGATGTTGGATTTGGCACTTCGGATTATCTGAAAATCCGAAATATTTATACTTCATATTTAGTCCATTATTCACATGTCAATAGTAATAAGTCCAATACTCTACCCATTCAATACTAGACATTATCTCATAGTCATATATTCAATACTAGACATTATCTCATATAGTCATATATTCAATACTAGTTCCTAAATTACTATGAGAATACTTTCTATTTAGACACGATTTTACTATTTTTACTTCTTATGGGCCTTGTGAGCGTCTATGTTGTATTTTCTTGATGATGATTTTGTTACTTGAATACTTTATTGGGATGATTGCAGTGAGAATAAGAAACTTTTTACGTAATATAACACGAATACTTCATTTAGATGTTCATTTTTTATAAGAAAAAAGAAGGCCAGAAACATCTCAACTTATAGGCTCAAAAGAAAATCCAAAATATCCAAACAGATTATTCCGAAATCGAACTTAAAAAATCTGATCCAATCCGAGCTTATTTGGATTGGATTTGGATAGTTATTTCTTCAATCCAAAAACCAAAAATCCAAACTAAAATTTTTATATCTAATCAAAACTGCCCGAACGCCCACCCCTACCCAACAGACATAAATATACTCAGATCATTCACCATTATTCGCCTCTTAATTATAAGAGCCACCATTTTTATGCCCCCACAATTACCGGTGATAGAAACCGTCCAAAACGTCGCCACCACAATAGCCATTTAAAGGCCTCAAGCCTAGCTTAGCAGCAAAAAAAAAAGGAACAGATCAAGGGCCAAAAATTAGAGCATGGCATGAAACTTTGTTGTCTAGTTTGGTGGGGACAAGAGTAAATGAAAAAGAGAAAAGAGAAAGAAAAAAAAAATGGAAAGAACAGAAAAATAATTTTTTAATGAAATATTCACTTGTCTAGGGCGTGTAGTTTACCTCCCAGCAGAAATCTGGTTGTAGTGTTTCAAGGGTGAACTTATTCTATTTTAAAATAGTTCGGGGGTAATAGGAAAAGGAAAAATGTGTAGTTGGAGCTTCGGTCATAGGTTGGGGGTACTTGGGCATTTTCCCTTATAACATATCAAATCAATCGCAAACAAAGGTTTGTTGGTCAATTATAAAGAGTGCAAATCTTCATCGCTTTGTTATGAATGATGAACAAGCTAGAAAGTGACATTACGCGTGCAGGAAGGATTCAATATCGTGTATGCTATTGAAATTGGATCATATATTCAGGATTGTTTTGAAAAGTTTTCACTTCTGAAATAGGACAGCAAGAAAATTTGTAGTCATCTCATTCTTATTAGATGCAGTAAGAAGGTACTGTTATCCAAACTGAAATTCATTATCTATCAAAAGGCAATGCCGAAACACAACCATATACTACACCATCCACATTCATTTCTCTCTATTTGCCTTAATTAACCTCCAACCTATCTAAGACAAAGATCATGGTGGTGTAAAAGACCAGTGGAGATAGACCGGACTCTGATCTGGATACCACCCTATGAACCTATATAGATAACTCCTGCTTTAGGTGATGCCTGCGGAAATTGTATTAGCTCTGTGAGTAACTCAAGTCTTGTTTCAGGAGAATCTAACCTGGGCTCAATTACCATTCCTACGAGCATCAGAGACTTGGCTAATAGAAGCTTAATAAGCAACTTTTCAGACTTTTTGCCTGTTGTATCTATCACCTTAACCGCTCTTAGGTGATTCAATATTGGCACATTTGAAAAACCTTTTACTTCAAGAGAAACACAGCTGGTCTCCTGATCTAACCACCATATATTGGAAAGTTCATAGTCCAACTACAAATTAATAAAAGACCATCAGTCTGAACTAACATTGAGGATTAAGGATTATGAAATAAGAAAGGAATTACATACAGAAAAGAGAGGGAAAAAAGTAGTAGTAATTTTTGAACCTGAATTTCAATTTCTTGTAAATATGGGGAGCTTCTGATCAAGCAAAGAGCACATAAAGTCCAACCTGGATCTACACAAACATCAGATAAGTAAAGACGCGTAAGAGCAGAGGGGAGCTCTTTTGGTACTTCACCTGCCCCTGCAACCAAGGACTAAAGACAACGCCATAAATCAGGACCACTCAAAGGCCAAAAGAACAAGGACAAAAGATGCACTATAATGAAATCATGGAGCAACATTTACCTGGACACCACAATAATCCAAGTGGAGGAAAAGACTCGAAAAACTTGGCAAGACCATATTTTCCATGCCCCATAGAAAAATCCGTATTCACAAGTGAAAGTTTCGGAAGAAGAGGAGAATTTATTAGAAAAACAGAACCTCTTGCGAAGTCAAAGGATTTCAAACAGGGAGCAATAATTTGAATATTGCTTAAAAACTATATGAGATCTGCAATACCAAGTACTCGAGCAACGGGCAATGAGATAAAAAATTCTCAAGAAATTTGGAACAAATTTTTACTTCACGTAGTTCCAGGCTAATCAACCTATAAAATCCCTTGAAAGCCAATGGAGGACGTATTAAACAATTCTGGAGAGTCAGATGCCTCAACTTCAAACAAATAAAAAATGATCATGAATGGACAGTGAAAACTTAGTTATTGGTCCATCGTGAAGTGTTAAAAGATGGCATATGATTTTTGTAAATACAAGTGCAGGAGGTATTAAGGCAATTCTTGTTTCCAAAAGTGTCTGGTCAAACGTTAATTCTGGAAGTCTGCACCAGTTATACCTCCATTTCTTTGATAAGATGCTTGTCCTCACAACATCTCGTAAAGGTAAACGCATTAGAATGGCATCGATAACATTCTCAGGAAGGTTGCCAAGTATATTTGGAGGTACACTTTGACAATCATGCATTTCGCCCTTAGGAGGCATCATATAATAATAATTGCCAGTAAGAATCTGCAGAAACAAGAATATAAAGGTAAGGAATACTCAAACTATCCGGACAGAGTACACAGACATTAAACTTCTATGATTATTGTTAAATCAACATGCCAAAAATGTAAGAAAAGAAAGGGTCTATTCTAATTGAATCACTAATCCATCTCCTCTTAATATTCATAAAATGCATTCTTTAAATCTCAACGGCAAGAAACACGTCCTTCAATCTTATAGTCACTAATCATCAGTCTTAAACCAGATTACCTTTTTGCTTCAATTAAGCTTATCAAATTGACAATGATAACTACACAATAAGTTCATTTGAACATAAATATTTACTATTTCAATTACTGAATGCATAAGTAATTCATCCTAAAGTGAAAAAATGATGAAGAAAAAAGAAGAGCATTTCAACCTTATCAAGACCTAAGATTCTTGAATTTTGATGATGAATGATTCAAAAGGATGTAACCAGCCTTTCTCTATCCTCAGTGCTTTAGCTGTTGCCGCTATTTGTAACTTGTTAAGTCTTTACTTTGCATAGCCTTTTAAAGCCATCTCCAGATTCGAAAAGAACTTTTCAGTTCACTAGGAAAAGAATGACAGTTGAGGTTTTCAAGATCAATAAATGAAATAAATTGTTTCTATTCCTATTCTTAATGACTATAAACTCTTGACGCATGCACTGTCTCAAATTAATTATCCTGATTTTTTTTGTTTAAGTTCCTGTCTACTTTCAATTTACTATTACACTTACCAATATTATATTGTGCAAAGTACTTTGAAGATTGTAATACAGTAATAACTATTTTAAAGTTAGTTTCCTGGACCAATTCATTTTGGCATGAAAAACAGAATAAATTCCAGGAGGATATTGTGAGATTATATTAAATACCATAGTGAATAAAGAAAAAGTTAAATAGCAAGTGCTATCTACTCTACCTAGTATCAATTCTACATGGCTCTAACTTACAGAGATAAAATTCTACTTTGAGATATGACCAAAGTAGAAAAATAACACACAGCAACCCGCAACCTAACTTTGAAGTTTGAAATAAACATTAACAACGTCAACGTGAAGTAATGACAAATTATGTAACAGACTAGTCAAATCATCCACCCAGAATAATTAACTTCCAAAATTTTGAGCCATAGATTGTATGGTTTGATTAAAGAATCCTGAAGATCAATAAACAAGATTGTAATCTTGTGGAGTACTAGTTTAGAAATCTAACTTCTGCTTTAGGTGATGCACGCTGAAATTTTGGTAACTCAGCGAGTATTTTGACTGTTGCAGAATCTTTAACTGGCCTGAAGGGCTCGATTAGCATCCTCACCAGCACGTGAGACTTGGCTAACAAAAGCTTCATAAGCTGCAACTCAGGCTTTGAACCATTAATATACATTAGCTTAAATTCGTTGAGGTGATTAAATGTGACATCTGAGAAATGTTCCACTTCAAGACATTCTAGAGCAGACACATCATCATCATCATCCACATAAGACGTCTAAGAAAAGATTAACCAAATCTCAACTAATTGATGATTTAAGGAGTATGGAAATAAGAAAGAAACTATTGTGCATAAGAAAGAAAAAGAAAAGAAAACCTCAATTTCTAAATATTGTAAACATGGGAAGCTTCTAATCAAGCCAAGAGCACATAAAACATCATCTAATTGACACAGATAAACAGATAAGCGAAAATGTTTGACAGAGTTAAGATTAAAGGGAAGCTTTGTTGGTTCTAAACCTGCTCCTGCAGCAAAGCACCTTAAAAATAATTCAAAAAGTTAGGATGACTCGAAGCGGAAAAAAAATGCATTAATAGCTGTGAAGCAACATTTACCAGGCAATCAATGTCGAGATGCATCAAGAGCAGAACAAGACCTCTAAAAACTTCACAATATCCCATTTCTGTCCCCCCCCCCCCCCCCCCCCCAAAGAATATACATCATTCATAAGTGAAAGTTTTGCAAGAAGAGGATATTCTTTAAAAAGATAGATCCTATACAGCCTGTGAAGTCAATTGATCTCAGCAAGGGAGCATTAATTTCAACAATATTGCTATACGAAACTACCATTTCCAGCACCAATTCTTCAAACAACGGACAACTAGAGATTAACCAATTTTCGAGATCCAGTTGCCTTAATTGCATACATGTGAAAAATGAAGTAGGCAATTTGTCTCGGACACTGTTCATTGGAAGTATAAGAACAAGATGCTGAATACCATTCCTAGAGAGGAAATAAATCAAGTTGTCAATATTAGGACAACCTTCCAAACAAGGAATAGAGGGAGTAAACTTTGTAAAGTTACTTGTAATGTGTTAAATCCCTTTTAGCTTTCCAAAGTGTTTGATCAAGTCTCAACTATGAAAGCCTGCACCAGATATAACTTCAATTGCTTGATAAGATGCTTGTCCTCACATCATCTCGTAAAGGCAAACGCTTAAGAATATCATCAATAACATTCTCGGGAAGGTTGTCAAGTACATCGAGAGGCAAAGTTTGCGTTTTTCCCGTAGGAGGCATCATATAAGACTGATCGACGTTAAGATCCGGTAGAAAATAAACAGGAATACAAAGATGAGGAAGATCTCCAAACTATCTAGACAGAACTGCGGATGACATTTTCAAATTTAACATTCCATAACTGTAAGAAGAATAGAAAGGGTGTGGTCTAATTGCATTCTTTACAATTAACTTAGAAAATTAGCTTATCAAACTGACATGGATAGCCACACAATAAGGAGAAAAAAAAGTCCAATAATTGGTCAAATTAACTTAGAAAATTAGCTGTTTCATAGCTTAGGCCATATATATTTTGACATCAAACTAGTAGCCTAAATAAACTAGTAAGTAGTTAAGTAGTAAAATATGAATAGCCTAAAACTTAGTATGAGACAGAAGGTAAAGCCTTAGAACCCCAACCCCATCATGCGACATCAATGACGACTTCAACCTCGTCAAGTTTTAAGCAAATCCCACGATTCAGGTGATTTGATTTAATTATGCCCCCAGAAAATATAAATACAATTCTTGATTTCAATGTTCTACAGAACCCCAGACCATAATAGCACATGAATTGTAACAATGAAGAAACCAGTAGTAGTGTGAACCTGATGAGGATTAATTGTGAAGTAGTCACTCCTATACTTCTCCGATGATCGATGGCTAACTAATATGCGTAAATGGTGCACATTGTAAAATGGATAAATTGCAATTTGCCTCCTATTTATTGTGATAAAACTACAGTATGGCCCCTCTAATTAAATTACTAATGTGCAGAATTTTCAAGGGCAATTAAAAGTTGGTTTTTGTATATTTTTCATGCTTCCTATTTATCACATATGGAACCATGACCAGTCATTGCTTCAGTATGATATCCTAACCATACTGTTTTGACAAGCCAATGTTGAAAATTTCGGATAATACTATAAGCAACCTCATCAATTGAAGAGTATTAGAGTGAGTCAAAGTTAACATTTTCGATCCATTGATTTTGCACTGAGACAGTTGAACACCAGGAAGTCATGTAAACAAGTAATTTAGCCAAAACATTCTGTGAAATTAAACTTACCAAGAGCTAGATAAAGCAGTACAGGAAGGGGCCAGTATGTTCTAATTGAAATGACACATCCTTTAATTAGTTTCATAAACTAACATCATCCAAAAGATAAAAAAAGATCAGAAGCACATACAGTTTTCAAGTCTTCTGTAAGTGCTTTGGCCTTTTATTTTGTTAAATGAAATCATACTGAAGCATTACTAGTAGAGGATAGAGCAAATGTCCATTCCTCTCTCACAAAAGTAGCTCGATCAATGTACCAAGTCAATCATAAACAATTTCAGTAGACTATGTAACAATTAGGAAGGAATTAGCAGACATATATTTCATACTCCTTCAATTACAAAGAAAAAGCCACTGGTTAAGTGATCAAACATAAGGTGACGACAGGTTTTCACAACCCAAAAACAAATAATTAAACCCCTGAAAATATGACTTAATAGTAGCTAGAGTGCATCATTAGTTCTAGAACAACTAGTTCAAGGCATATATTTTAGGACATAATATAACTAATAGAATCATTTCTTTAGCATCATCAAAAAAAAAAAATTGACAGACCAGGATATAAAAGTCAGTGGAGGATCCCACGTTCATCAGAAATTTAAAGCTATGATGGCGCTTGAATAGTATTACTATAGGGTCACACGGCATTACTGCATTGACCTGCTCAGATTGCTTTGGTGAGTACTTCCCCATCAGCTTAGCCAGTTCGAGATCAAAATTCTTCTCAAGTGCAACTGCCTCTTCCGAGTATTGCAGCAAGTATTTGCGTCTCATTGCAGCTACCCTATCTTCATGAGCTCTTATCAGATTATCCCTCTCTTCCACAAATTCTTCCATTTCCTTGTCCTGAAGTTTGATAAATTTCGCAACTTTTTCTGCCCTGAGTCGACGATCCTCAGCCGAGGAAATAGTTGCATTAGATTGATAGATCATCTCACGCTGTTCCTGCTGTATCTTTTCAAACTTGTCCTCCTCAGCAGTCCTGGCATTGTAAATCATTTTCAACTGATCGTTGAAAAACTGCTCTAGAGATGTTTCTCCTATCACCTTGATTTCAAACTTTTCCTTGAAATTTTCATCCACTTGAGTGGAACTTTATCACCTATTGAAAGAAAAAGTTCACAAGCAATTCTTCAGGAGGCGAAAGAGATGCATTAGCAGATCTGTCCTGAATATGCCTGTGACGACACACAATTTATTTCAGCTTACCCTGTTAGGGTGTTGGGATCCCAAGCTTGATGGAAGCAAATGTATAGGTGGTGACATGTCATGGGTAACACTGGTTGATCCTAACTTTTTGGAATGGCTACTTTGCATGACCAATAACATTTTTCCAAGCATTTCCCTAAGGACTGGTGATATCATGTCACATCGAGTCAAAACATCAAGTGAACCAATAATTCCCTTTTTAACAATCGTAGAAAGAGCCGTTGACACCCCTTTGGAGATAATCTCCTTCCTCTCAATATCATAGTTGTCAACCACAATTAGTAGAAACTCAAGAAGAGTATGGGTGACTTCAATATACTTTGGTATAGAGTTCACCATTAAAAGAATTGCAGGTTCAATGTTCATTACACTATCAGTGGTTTCATCAAAGAAAAGCCAATCATAAAACAATGCAAGCTTTACATTTGCTTCAATATAACCCTTCCTGCACGACTTCAATAGCCAACCAATCACAGCCCATCTTGGTAAGATGTCCGGTTGCGTAATTTCACTGGATGGACGAACTGAACAACATATAAACCTAACAATGTCAGTTAAAATGGTTTCTCTCTCGGGCACTCCAAGGAACTTCTTAGCAAACCAAACCTGGTACCTCTTTTGATTACCCAACTTGACATGTGTAAGCAAAAACCTCAATTTGGTTTCCATTTCAGGAGTTATTCGAAGCAAAAAGTACAAACTTGGAGTTCTTATGCGGTAAATTTGTGAGATATCTTCAAATCCGTCCGCCCTAAACTGTCTTGGATTCAATAACAAGTCTTTCCATATGGCTTTAAACTCAGGTATATGAACCAAGTCTTGCAAAAGCCTAATTAAGTCTCTCCCTATGTTCAAACACAAGGGAAATTGTTCCCGCAAAAGTCGACCACAGAATTCAACCTCCATTCTCTTCAATGCATCCGTCATTGGATTACTTGGTAATCTATAATGATCAGCCAATAACCGAAGGAACACATACAACCCCTTATTCAAAACCAATGGTTCTTCCTCTAATAAACAATCCCAATTGGCTAAAAACAAGGTAACCATCTCCAAACACAACCACAAATTGCCCTCACTAAAATCCCCACCTAAAATTTGCCTTAAAAGAGCCACTAGCAATTTATCAAACCCTATAGCTAATACATTCAACATCTCTTTAGTAACCCATATAAGCTGAATTTTCACTGAGTCAAGCAACTTTGGATACAATTCATCAACAATATTGACAAGAATACAAGTAAAGAAATCATACCCATCAGTAATAATTGCATGTAGGTGCTTAATATGAACTTTAGCCAAATGGGGCTGGGATAAAATGCCAAAAATTAAAGCTTTATTAATTTTTGAGTATTCCTCTTGTGTAAGGACTTTTAAGGAAAATGGGGGGTTTAGTTGGGGTTTAAGAAGCTCAAAAGCTTCTCTAAGAGACACTTCGATTGGGTTTTCAGCTTCATGAGTTCCTCTTTGAATAAGTTTTAAGGCCATTTATCAAGCACAATAGATGCAAGAAGAATCACCAAAAACAGCTACATAAGTTTACCTTGAACTCACCGGCGGGGAGGTAAGCGGCGGTTGTGTAGGTACGGCAACTTGCCGCTGGTTTGCTCCCTTTTTACCCTTTTGTAGATTAAGTAGAATGAATAACAATATTAGTAAGACCATCTCCAACACAATATTATTTTGGTGCTCCAACACAATAATATTTTGGTATACTTGGTACGAGAATAGTGTTGCACCAAATTTAGTGTAACACTATTTATAACACAATTACTATTTATTAATATTTTATTATTATTATTTATTATATAATACTTTTAATTTAACATATTATAATTTTGTAATTACTTATACTTTTTATGTAATATCTTTATAATATTAATTTTATATTTTAATTTTAGTGTATAATTTTTATAAATTAATTTACGTTAATTTTATTTTTATATAAAATTATAAGTTAATTTTATTATAAGTTATAACTGTATAAAAATATATAAACATAAAAAAAAACAAAAAGTGCAAATCTAAAATATAATATGTTGTTAATAAATAACACAATATTCATTAAATAACATATAAATAAATATTTAATAGAGTAGCGACTGACATAAATTAAAATTGAAAATACTTTAAATAACATAATGGGATGAGAAAATTATAACAATAATCTAGTACTCTGGTAGGTCTGTAATGACCCGACCAGTCGTTTTGAGAGTTATAGCCTGGATCCCCTATTAACTGCTTCTCCCATATCTATTTTCTGCTATTGTGACTTGCCAGGAGGTTTCGTTTTGGTTTTTGGAGTGTTTTGGGACACTTAGTCCCTAAATGGAGGTTTAAGCCTTAAGATTTGAACCGTAATCGGAACTATGTGAAGACGACTCCGGAATAGAGTTCTATCGGTTCTGTTAGCTCCGTTATGTGATTTTGGACTTAGGGGTGTGTCCGAATAGTGTTTTGGAGGTCTGTAGCTTATTTAGGTTTGAAATAGCGAAAGTCGAATTTTTGGAGATTTGGACGTGTAGTGGAAATTTTGATATCGGGACCGGATCCCGATTTCGGAAGTTGGAGTAGGTCCGTAATGTTGAATATGAGTTGTGTGCAAAATTTGGGGTCAATCGGACTTGGTTTAGTTGGTTTCGGCATCGGTTGTCGAATTCAGAAATTTCAAAGTTATTTAGGCTTGAATCCGGGTGTAATTGGTGTTTTTGATGGTATTTGAGGTGGTTTGAGGTTCGACTAAGTTCGTATGGTGTTTTAGGATTGGTTGGTATGTTTGGGTGAGGTCCTAGGGGCCTCGGTTGAGTTTCGGGGTGCTTAACGGATGAAAACTTGGACTTAGAAGAATTTCTGATATGTTGTTCCTGGTGTTTTCGCACCTGCGGTGGAGAGTCCGCAGGTGCGGCCCCGCAAAAGCGAGGCTAGGATCGTAGGTGCGCCTTTAGGCCTGGGAGTCAGGGGTCACAGATGCGACGAGTGAGCCGCAGGAGCGGAGCCGCATTTGCGGAAGGGTAGTCGCAGATGCGGAGATGAGGAGGACCTAAGGTTCCGCACAAGCGGACAAGTAGACGCAGAAGCGTATTCGCAGATGCAGACTTAGGCGCGTAGGTGCGGACTCTGGAGTTTTAATGAAAAATCGCAGGTGCGTAATCCTAGCCGCAGAAGCGGCACCGCAGGTGTGATGATGAGGGCGCAGGTGCGAGTCCGCTGGGCAGAAAAGAGAGAATTTCGAGGGTTTGATTCATTTCTCCATTTTTGGACTTGGGAGCTCGGAAATTGGCAATTCTTTGAGGGATTTTCAGAGAGAGCTTTGGGGTAACGATTCCTTATTCGATTTTGGTTATGTTTCATTAATCTAATGTTGATTTCTTTATTTAATTTCGGATTTGGATTGAAAAGTTGGGGAAATGGAGGAAAAGTTCCCTAACCTAATTTTTGAGTTTTGATTGGGATTTAGACATCAGATTTGGATAATTTTGGTACGAGTGAACTCGTGAGTGAATGGGTATTCGTATTTGGTGACTTTTACCCAATTTTGAGCCGTGGGCCCGGGGAGACTTTTTGGGGCGATTTTCCAATTTCTTGCTTTAGCTTTGATTTCAGTAGCTAGATTAGTTCCTTGTAGTTATATTTATGATATGTAATTGATTTTGGCTAGATTTGGGCCATTCGGAGTTGGATATTCGTGGAAAGAGCATCGTTACGAATTGATTTGAGCTTGGTTCGAGGTAAGTGGCTTGCCTAACCTTGTGGGGGGAACTCCCCTTAGGATTTGGTACCCTTTAATATGTGAGCGTCGTGTATGTGAGGTGACGAGTGCGTATACGGACTATTCGTTGTAAAACTCTATTTTTCTCTAAGTAATAACATGTTTCACTTCATTTGAGCTACACCAGCATATGTAATTATCCTGTTTAGTTTAGAATAGTTTAGAATAGCATGTCTACGTGTCTTAATTGCCTATCTGACTCTGTGCAGCATGCTTAGTGAATTCCATGCCTCTTCCTTGACTCGTACTTAGTCTAAATTGTAGGATTTCGTGTTGTAGCTATTATTTCTACTGTTTGAGCTGGGTATTTTACTTTTGGAATTACGGAACGGTATTCCGGGAGATCCCCCTGCATATTTATTTTTGGGACTACGGAACGGTATTCCGGGAGATCCCCTTGCATATTTACTTTGAGACTACGGAACGGTATTTCGGGAGATCCCGCTGTCTTGCATATTTACTTTGGGACTACGAAATGGTATTCTGGGAGACCCCCTGCACATTTACGTTTAAGACTACGAGACGGTATCTCGAGAGATCCCCTGTGGTTATTGTTGTGTACTGAGCTGTTATCTTTCTATGATTTCATTTTTGTTAAATTTTGGTCTTTATTGTACTGCGATATTTTACTCTGCCTTGTTTTATTATATATATATATATATATACACACACACACACCAGTAGGAGCCTGACTTGACCTCGTTACTACTCGACCGATGTTAGGCTCGACACTTACTAGGTACCATTGTGGAGTACTCATACCCTTTCCTGCACATGCTTTTTCGTGTGCAGATCCAGGTTATTTCTACCAGCCTCGTCCTTAGTTGCAATCGTTGTTGCTTTCGGAGACTTCAAGGTATATCTGCCCGCGCCCGCAGATCCTCAGAGTGCCCATTTATCCCCTATGTTGATTTTTATTTTTATTTTTATAGACAATGGTGTATAAAACAGTTAGAACTTCGTAAAAGCGTGACTTACGATATTCCGGGTCTTGGGAGTGTTATGTATATTTTGGGAGTAGATTATTATATATGCCGAGCGACATCTCAATTGCTTATTTAAAATATCTGTTATTGTTAGTTGTTAATTTCCATATTTTTTTTATTCTCATTTCCGCAAGTGTTAGGCTTACCTAGTCGTAGAGACTAGGTGTCGTCACGACGTTTCACGGAGGGAGGGGTTGGGTCGTGACAAGTTGGTATCAGAGCTCTAGGTTCGTATGTGTCGTGAGTCACAAGCCAGTTTATTAGAGTCTCGCGGATCGGTACGGAGACGTCTGTACTTATCTTCGGGAGGCTATGGAACTATTAGAAACAATCATACTCTTTTTGATTCCTTGTCGTGCTAGTTATTGGCAACAAATTCTAAAATTTCTCTATTCCATTCTTTCTCACAGATGGTGAGGACCCGTACCGGGAGATCTGATGACCAGGCACCCGTGCCCCCTGCTAGAGCCGTTAGAGGCCGGGGACGGGGTAGAGGACGAGCACGCGATGCAGCCAGAGCACCCGCACAAGCTGCGACAGAGGAGCCCCCAGCAACTCTAGCTGGAGGGCAGGCACTAGAGGTTCCTATTGCTGCACCCGCCCTCCAGGAGACTCTAGCCCAGTTCATGTGCATGTTCAGCACCTTAGCTCAGACTGGATTGATTCCATTAGATCCCGCCACATCTCAGGCCGGGGGAGGGACACAGACTCCCGCAGCCCGCACTCCTGAGCAGAGGGTCCAGGTTGATCAGGCCCCAAAGTTCATTCTTGTGCCGCAAGTAGCTCCAGTTCAGCATGAGACTGAGCCAGTCCCTTCTGAGGCGCAGCAGCTCCGACTTGAGAGGTACAAGAAGTACCACCCACCTACCTTCAGCGGATTGGCTACAGATGATGCTCAGGTTTTTTTTAGAGGAGTGTCATCGTATTCTCCGTATTATGGGCATAGCGGAGACGAGTGGGGTTTCTTTTACCACCTTTCAGCTTAGAGGAGCTGCCTATCAGTAGTGGCGTGCTTATGAGTTGAGTAGCCCGGATGAGGCAGCTTCACTTACATTGATTCAGTTCTCGGACATATTTTTGAGAGAGTATGCCTTAGAGCCTCAGGGACTCATGGCGCGCGGAGTTTGAGCAGTTGCACCAGAGTGTTATGACTGTGTCAAAGTATGCAGTCCGCTTCAGTGATTTGGCCCAACATGCATCGGCCTTAGTTGCCACAATTTGGGAGAGGGTTCGACGGTTTATTGAGGGACTCCACCCGAGTATCCGGATCAGTATGGTCAGGAAGTTGGAGACGGATATTTCTTATCAGCAGATTGTGAGTATTGCCAGGAGATTGGAGGGCATGCTTGCCCGGGACCGGGAGGAGAGAGAGGCCAAGAGGTCTCGAGAGACTGGTTCTTATTCTGGAGCTCGTGCCCCAACAGCTCGCCTTGGTAGGGGTTATGTGAGTCACCCCGTTCATTCAGCTCTTCCAGCCGTCAGTGGTGTTCCAGTCCCTTCTAGACCCAGGAGCCTTATTATGAACTGCCATTATCTAGTGTGCCTCCTGCTCGGGGTGCTTTTAGTGGCCAGTCCAACAGACCTGGCCCGAGTCAGTCACAGCAGCCACGCCTTCCGAGGGGTTGTTTTGAGTGTGGCGACACCTGTCATGTGGTGAGGGATTGCCCCAAACTTAGGAGGGTTGCACCTCCATAGACTTCTCAGCCGCCACGTGCTCCACCGGGTCCTCAGGCTATGATTCCGGCAACAGCTACCGCCCCACCTGCTCAGCCAGCTCGAGGTGGAGGTCGGGGAGGTCGAGGTCG